TAGTGTGGGTAACGCCAGGGTACTTTCAAGGGTCCTAAATCGTGCCTCAAATTTTGACTGCTCATATTTTTTTAATTTCCGAGATATGACGTTGTGTTATGATGTTTCAGTAAATTTTAAGGAACATATATAAAAATTTGAAGTTGCCAACCCTGTAGTCAAGTGCGTTCGAGGTACTCTCAGAGGTTGCAAATTTGCCTCCATAGTTACCTGCTCAACTTAATGATATTTTTCGAGAAATGACTTGAATATTGGATGGTCTCAGTGTACTCTCAGAGGTTGCAGATCTTACCTCCAAGTTTGATTGCTCAAACCATCTTCTTTTTGTAGATATGCCTTTTTTTAATGTTTTTTTTTTTTCGAAATTTTTTTCTCAGGATGTTTATCTGGACTGCAAGTATGACTTCACAACGCCTTAACATTCTTCGATATGGCGTTATTTTAACTTTTTGCTAATTTTTCAAAATATTTTAGATAAAAAGAACCTTTCAAAATTTGAATGATCGACCTTTTGGTGAGGGGATGTCAGTTTACTAACAGCGGATGCAGATATGGCCTCCAATCCTTAATTTTAACTCAACTTTTTAAGTTTTCAAAACTGGCGTTTTTGTTCCGACCATTAAAAATGGGGAGGAATTTTGTATTCGGGTGTGTTTTAGTTTTTTTTCTTGTTTTCCACGCAAAATGCCCAATTCTTAAAGAAAAAAGTTGCGGCGTTCAAACAAGTTGAAGTTTTGAGTTTTTTGGAAACTTATTGACTTTAAGCGAAAATTACCGGGCCAATTCTCAGGTTGTGTTCAATCGAGGAACCCGGCTTTGGGAATCTGATCTACTTAAGCGGCCATAGCCTGCTTCTTGCAGAAAAACGTTTTGGATTTTGGAAAGTATTTTGACCATTTTTTAGAATTTATGACCGTTTTTTAGAAATATTTTGAATTTTCTTGATTTTTTTTTAAATTCAATCTGAGATGAAAAGTTTCATTGAAAAAACAGGTTTAGATAATTGTTCATGCACAAGCGGTGACTACTTCATTTTTTGTAAGAGAAATATTATCTCTTTTTTCTACATCTTAGTTTTTTTTTAACATCTAAAAAATTTTTCGACTTTGTTTTTTATGTTTGTGTTGTATCGCAAGTGATGCGAAGCTCCGCTTTTCCTCTGTTTTGTTATTTTTTATTACTAGACTTTTTTTCAAAGAAGCTTTGAAAAATGTTGTCTTTTTTCTCAACAATTTTGGTTTTTCGTGGAAAACAAAAAAAGGAAAAAAACCCCAAATACATAGTTCTTCCCCATTTTTCAAGTGGTCGGAACAACAAGAAAAAAAAACCTGCGATTCATTATACTCTCGTCACAGAAATTATTCGACGCCTCTTTTTCGGATTCGAATGACAGCCAAAATTAGTTTTGTGTTTCAGCACATGCGACCTAGATTGATTCAAAAACGTGACAGATTTCAGACGGTTTTTGTATTTGCTTCACTGATCGAACCCCACCTTATTTTCAGTTTTTATTGGTATAAAAACTTTTTTCCCACTCTAGCTCAATGATCAAATGATTACAAATTTTACATAGGACAGCATTTGATATAACTTTTTATTCATTTTACATTTAATATTACATAGATTATCAAGAAAAGTTTGTTTTGGTGACATTTGATGCGATTGATGATTTTGCAGTGCTTTAAATTTGCTTGTCGTCTCGCAGATCGACCGAACCCGAGTAGTCGTCGCCTCTAACGGAACCCGAGTAGTCGTCGCCTCTAACTGAACCCGAGTAGTCGTCTCTGACGTCGACCGAACCCGAGTAGTCTTCGCCTCTGACTGAACCCGAGTAGTCGTCTCTGACGTCGACCGAACCAGAGTAGTCGTCACCTCTGACAGAACCCGAGTAGTTGTCTCTGACGTCGACAGAACCCGAGTAGTCGTCGCCTCTGACGGAACCCGAGTAGTCGTCTCTGACGTCGACCGAACCCGAGTAGTCGTCGCCTCTGACGGAACCCGAGTAGTCGTCGCCTCTAACTGAACCCGAGTAGTCGTCTCTGACGTCGACCGAACCAGAGTAGTCGTCGCCTCTGACGGAACCCGAGTAGTCGTCTCTGACGTCGACCGAACCCGAGTAGTCTTCGCCTCTGACGGAACCCGAGTAGTCGTCTCTGACGTCGACCGAACCCGAGTAGTCGTCGCCTCTGACTGAACCCGAGTAGTCGTCACCTCTGAATTCAATCGAGCCAGAGGAGTCCCAGTTTTCATAGTCATCTTTCACAGTTTCAACAGGCATACCAATCGCACTTGAAAGTGGGGCGTCATCCAGAAATCCTGATCCGCCTATGAAAGGCTTGCCGAAAGGCATTCCTGACCCACTCATGAGAGGTTTGTCATCATGGTCAAGAGGCTTCTTCATTCCTCCGCCCATGACTGCTCCTCGTTTTTGCTCTAAGTGTCTCTCCTCAAATTGATGAGTCTCCCTTGCCTTCCAGAAAGGTTCCCGGATCCGCATGTCGGGAATCCTAGCTGTGACACTGACTAATAGAGTGAACAGCGCGACGCCCGCAACAACTGCACAAGATTGTCTCATTTTGTGATTAAAGTTGAATAGCAATCAATAACAAGCGTATTTGTTCTGGTGGATTTTTTTCTTTTTGTCAGGCGCTCTCAGCTAATTAGAGAACCAGAAACGGAGCAAATGAATTAGATTCATTTAACGGCCTTTTTTGACTTGTCGTTGTCATAATAGATTTACTTCAAAATTCACTTACCGTGGCTGAAGTTTCAGCGCACGTTAAAAATTGCCCTCTTTTTTCAATCAAATCTCATTGGCAAAAATGTCAAGTATAGAGTTATACATCTTTTTATGTTAACCATGTTGATGTTTGCTGTATCTAACACTGTCAGCCATGAAAGTGCCTTGCTTATTCGCTGATGAAGAGTCATTTAAACAACTGTTGGTGAAAAATTGAATATGTATTGACGTTACTTAACTAGCGTGCTGCTGGCTTATGATATGCCATATTTGGTGTGGACTGCCTTCATTTTTAAGCATGAAAGACAATACTTCAGTTGGCTCTCTTTTGTTAACAAAAGGCTCTAAAATCTGTTCAGAATTTGACATTTAAACTGTGGCTGAAGAACAGCTTGAGATATGAACTCAGAGATGTTTGATTGAGCTCCCGCGTCAACAATTCACTGCTCGCGGAACAACTTCTACTTATGTCTAATTTGATCACGTCAGCCGCGCTAATCAATTCATATCCAGGTCTAAATGTCAGTTTTGCATGTATTGGTCTCAATAAAAGTTCTACTGAATGACGGGAAAATTGCGGGTAGTTAAATGGTTTGAATGAATAGAATTTTTAAAATGAGAAAATTTTAGGCATAGCCGATAATTTGGTCTCGCTCCAACTAAAAGGAGGCTTAACATATATGACTAAAATTGTTTTTTTTTCTGAAAATGTTTTTGCGACTATAAGAGAAGCAGTGCGCGGAATAACTGTAACTCAGCGTTGATGATTTCTCTGATAAACGGAGTTTTAAAGTGTTTTTCCAAGTGTCGGTAAACGGAGTGAACACACTTATATGTTTTTGCAGGAAGAAGTCGTAAAATGCTCTAATGAGTACATAAGTGCATTCATACTTAATTACTCACTTATGAATGCCAATATGCATATAGCACTTTTTAAGCTCAATTCAAATAAAATTGGCGAAAGGAAGGCAAATTACGCTCTCAAACTACTAAAGTTAAAACGGCGCAAAAACACGACTGACTTCTTTTGAAATAGGATTTAATTTTTTAAAATTCGCGTCGAATTAAAAGTTTTTTTTCTGTAAAACTGGAAAATTAAACCCTTCAAGAAAAATTCAATCAGTTTTTTTCAGTCTCCTTGCTTTCCTTGGTACTTTCTTCACTCTGTTGGCTTTATATTTTTTTTATAAATCCTGATTATAGTTAACGTTTAACTGTTAAAATTTTTCATATAAGCAGCTCAAACACTGCAAAACGAGGCTTCCTTTGCTATTGCTAGGGAGAAAATTGCAACCGGGTACTTGGTTTTTTTTTGCTGTTAAAAACTTAGTAGACACTTCTCGGCAACAGACTTCGCCACTGTCCTATTTTGAGCATGTCTGAATTTAAAATGTTTGCTGGCTATAAATTTAGCGTATGCGATTTTGTATAATTTCAGTTTTTCTTCATTTTTTGCTTCAAGTTTTACTTGGATGTTTTGCGTCATTTTTTGCTTCTGCTTCCGGGCACTATTAAAATAAAATTTTAAATTTCTTATGAAATTTTTTTACTTGACCGGCTTCTACCTAAATATTGTTGACTTTTTAATGCTTCGTAAAAATAAACTTCGAGAGCAGAGTATGAGAGTCTTGATAAATCTTGTTTTTTTTTCAGCAATTTTAGACTTTAACTTAAAGGTTAGGTTGCCTTTCTATGTAAATGATGTAACATAAATTATGCGAAGCTTCGCTTCGCTTCTGTGTTAACCTTGAAAATTAAGTTGTGGTGTGAAATTGTCCTTTTAATGCAGCGAGTTTGACTTTGTTTGCAATTTTTCAAGCCACATTCGATGTTTGCCAAAATGCTTGTACGCTTGTAAAAAGAGTTAGATTTTTTGGTATAAGGCGTCGCTGGTCATTTTATGGCAAACAAGTTTTCTGCAATTTTTGGAATGCCATGATAAAACGGGTGCCTCCCCTCGCACTGTCGCCAGTTACAAAACAGATTTTGTACATGAACTATTTGTTTCACAAGGTTGTAGATAAAGACCATATCATGTGTTTCGAATTGGAAAATTCCTATGCTGGAGAATTTACAAAACAACGAGCAGTAAAGTTGTTGTGAATGTTTTCTCCAGCGTAACACGACAATTCGCAACAAAAGGCAAAACGTATAAGTTAGCAGTTACGAAAACTCGCAATAAACTCGTAAGATAGCGCTAAATAACTGAAAAAAGACGCTCCCTAAATCTATGCGGTTAACTTCTATCTATTTCAGATATCGATGTCTGTATATATGTACCACAATTGTAAATAATGCAAAACGAACACCCTCATATTTGTAATCTGGCGCTCATTTGCCCTGCTATCGATGGCCAATCAATGTGAAACTGTCGATTTTGAAGTCTCAGTGATCGGAACAGTCTGTTCTCTCTTAATGCAAGGAGTTATTTAAACATGAAAGTTTCCGCTGAAATGGCAAAAAACTTGCCATATTTTTGTTTTGTGAAAATTTTATGCTCGAGTTGGGGATTGTCCAAAAGCCGACCTTCTAAGCGATCTTTAATTGTTCATTTTTTGTTACTCCTATTTGCAATTTCATCATACAAATGGTCCTTGCAGCCGTGTCCTCACAACAGAAACACAAATTGTATCGAGTGGCTTTTCGAGGAGCAGAACCTCAACTATCTCGGACTCTGCTTGATCACGTCAAGTGCAATCTTCGTTTATCTAGCTTTGGCTGTGCTTTATTTACATTATTTACCGCCTTGTTTTTTACTTTTGGCTATTTTGCCCTCTTTAATTTACCTGTATAATTTGGGGTCTTCAACTGGATGGGAGGAACATAATGGGTTCAACAGACTAATTTTGATTTCTATCCATGTTTTGTCTTTAGTTTCTCTCTGTTTTATGAAGCTATTTGTCATCATTACTAGGAAATTAGCACGTAAGCTTAAGTTTCCTTTGCGAGGATTGCGTTTAAGAATCATCTCTTGCTTTTTCATTTTCTGTTTAATAAACATTTTCTACAGGCAAAATACAGGTTTTGTAAATTATTCTTTATCTCCTAATTATCTCATAAACACATCAGAAACAAACTATCACCGTACCTGTAAAATATACCCGCCTCCTATTTACATATTGGATATTATATTCGGCTTTCTGAATTTCGGTGCTTTGAGCTCGTGTCAGCATTCTTTTTCGTTGGATTGGCTGCCGACTGATTTGAGGCATTCGTCGGTTCTCGGATTTCCGACGTTAATTGACCTCTCGTCTCGGCTTTTATCCGACATGCCTGCTTTATTCGATTATATCAACGACCATATCAAAGATTGCTCAGATATCGAAAATTGTCGCAGCTTAGAACAGTTCTTATTCATTAAAGAATCAAAACCACGTTTAGTAGTCAATGTGTTTAGAAACGAAACAAAAGTTAAGGAACGGAAAACTTTGTTAAATAATAATTCAGCGTCAAATAGAGACAAGAAATCACAAAATGTTCTGATTCTGTTTATTGATGCGTTATCGAGACCAGGGTTTGCAAGGACGCTGCCGAAAACGTTCGGACTATTGCAAGGATGGAGTAGGAAGCGAGAACATAACGTAGTGTCCTTCTTGAAGTTTTCCTCTTTCGCAGCGTTCACCGAGCCGAATTTGATCCCTTTCACGTTCGGCATAAACAGACAGATGGCTGAGTAGGTAGTAATTGACTTCCAACTAAGAACTGTTAACATATCAACAAAAGCCGGTCGCTGGTACTAGAAATGCGCAGATCGAGGACTTTTATGAGGAGGGAAATCTTTTATTAAATTTTGGAGCCGGAAGAGCCTTTGAAAAGTGTTAGTCGGTCGAAAATGTCTTGAAAGAGTACTAAAGGGGGAAATATTTGTGATAAAAGGCTCGCATTCTTAGGAGTTCGCTTGCTTACTTAGTCGCATGTTTGCCGAACTTATCATTTGTTTGAATGTTCCCCTCAACCACTCCCCCCCCCTCCTCCAATCGACTGACTCGTCTTATTTTGAATTACTTCTTTGCAGGCACCATAGCAGAAGACTCAACGACTACGGACAGCTAAAACGAATCTACGAGACAATGAGTGAACATGGATACATCACTGCATTCGCTCACACTTCGTGTCAGGCAGCAGATTTTGAGTGGAAGAACTTTTTGCCTCTGGAAATTCCCAGACACGACCACCGTCTCATGTTCTGCGACCCCAACTTCATAGATCCCAGTGATCCATACAGTATATTGAAGGGTTAGTTGATCTACGATAAAAGAGTTTCTAAACCCCCCCCCCCCCCCCAGGGAAGTAGGGGTCCTCAGGTAGAAATGAAGAAGTAAGTCCGTGCACAAATAACAGCAAGAATAGCCGGTCACTGTGCAACTAGCACAGAATGTTCCGACTATAGTCATAAAAAACACAATTTTTTTTCAACTTCGTGTCGTTTTTCTACATGGTGTGATAAAAAGGATCTGAACAAACACTAGAAGTTAGGCATATTCGACAGTCATTCATTGTAAAATAGGCAAACTGGACAACAGTTTTCGAAGAAAAATGTCTAAAAAAATCAAACAATAATCCAAGTGCAGCTTCGCCTCTGTGTCCGAGCTTTATTCCTAAAACACTTCAGAAACACTTTTCATTCAATTGTTTCTGCACTGTAGGCGAAGCTGTGACAAAACATGCCAAATTTGCCATTTTTTAGTGCTTGGTTCTTTTTTCATAGCATTGGCCGAGCAAAAATGGGTGTTCGCAATCCCATGCCAATCTACACGTTCAGGTAGTTTGTTTTTTGTATGCTGAGTACTCTTTGTCTATCCACTCTAAAGTCTGGTGCTTATAGTGTTGGCATAAACTTCTACTTTCTAGTAAACTTAATTTTGTTTTATGCTGATGTTGTTTGTTGTGACTTGCGGAGAAGTAAATTCTTCTTTATCTACCTGAAACAGAGTTTTTGAAAACTTCTTTTGCAGGACCATTTTCGATGTTCAAACGATGCATGTACGGTCGACAAATACACGAATACGTTTTCGACTATATCGATTCATTCTGGCACAAGTATCCAGACCTCCCGAAACTGTTCAAAGCCCACTTCTCGGAGGCGCACGAGCCAACTGCCGAACTCATACGACACATGGACAATGATTTGTACAACTTTCTGATGAGATTCGAAACGAGCAATCGTCTTAATGATACAGTTCTTTTGTTGATGTCTGATCATGGCAATCACATGCATCCGATGCTGCGACTGTTTCCGAAGAGCGTCTGGTCGAAAGTGGAAGTAAAAGAACCACTTCTGATCAGCGTCACTCCTCCGCAGTTAGTTGAGTATTTAATTCCAGCTTATTTTTTAAGAAGCAGATAATAGAAAGATCTACTAGAGATTTAATTACTTGTAAAGTTTACTGGCTAGAGCAAGTATGTAGAAAGTTTCTATATGACGATAAAATTTAAGGCAATTTACAACAAGGAAAAGAACCAACATACGAGCTGTTCCTTTAATTTCATAGCTGCTGTGAACCTGCCTAAGGAACTATTCGCCCCTATTTTTGGTTTTCACTCTCGGCTAAATTATTGCCTTACCCTTGGGCGACCAGCACGGCTCACAGTGGGCTTCGAACCTCGGATCTTTCGATTGCAAGGTCGAATCCCATCGATGCTCTATTTACTTTTGGCGTTTGTCTTTTCAGTGTTGGGAATAAAGAGAAGATGCTGAGCAATTCACATGGGTTGCTGACTATGTACGACGTCAGGAAGACAGTCTTGAGTCTGAGTGGGATGCCAGTTGATAAACTGAAGGGCGTTGACTTCCTGAATGATCATGTGAGCTCAGAAAGAGATTGCAAGTCACATGGTTTATTCACACCTCTAGAAGTCCGATCTTGTATTTGCTCCAGAGACTGACTTTATATCTGTCAAAAAACTTGGTTGTTTCAATATACTTGTATGTTCTATTACGATTGTATGTAGTTTTTTATTCCCACGTCGATCAAGGGAGGTTATCTTGCAAGTTCTTGCACGATTCTTTAAAAGAAGATGCATCTCTTGAAAACATCATGCAAGACTTCTTGCAAGACAACCTTTTTTTGTTATCTCTTTTCTGTTTTATCTTTCGAGGCGACAGGAATGGGGAAATTCCATGAAACGATTTTGGTGACGTTTAAAAGGAATGTTGCTTGGTCAATGTTTTGGTAGCAGTTCCTTTCGTTAATGTTTTTCACCCTCTACATTCACCCTTCTTGCACGTAAGCAATATTCGGTTCACAAGAATTGATCATAAATGATATTGGCCCTGACATAAGTCGTTGAATTCCAACCCAACTCTACTACTAGTACGTACTAACCTACTGTAAGTCTTCAAAGCGGCTAAAACGATTAAAACTTTTTTTTCATTTGCTGTAATGAGTAATGTGAAGCCAGCGAATACAAAAAATCTAGTCATTGTTTTTCCCAAAAAACGCTGTTCTTCATATGAAGACAAAGTAGAACTTTCTGGCATCTTTTTCGGTGTTGTCCCAAAACCTCGCTGAATGCTATTTTCCATTTTTACTGGTTTTCTTTTCTGTTTTTATTTTGCTGCTTTTGACGCGACCAGAGAAACATATAGGCTTCGGTGATTGGTCTCAAATATTCATTTTCCCGATAAGCAAGGGTGTTGTAATCACGTACAAGATTCCCCCACCCCCTCCCCCTAATTAACTTTGTTCGGAGAATAGTCAAAATTGGTAATTTTACTTTTGCTAGCCTCTTGCACAAAGTCTTCTTAAGTGAAGAAATAATTTAAGTAGTTGTCAGTTTATTTTACCGCATGGAATCTGGTTAATTGTTCCGACCATTGAAAATGGAGAGGAACTTTTTATTTGGGTGTGTTTTAGTTTTAGAAACGTAAAATTAGAAACCACAAATAATCATCGGACTGAGGTGTGTGATGCATAATATTAAAGCCCTTACAGTCGTGATTCAAACCACATTTAAAAAATTTAAAAAAAAATTCCCTGTGTTGAGAAAAACCCGTTTGAATTTTTCGTTTTTTCGTCTTATTTCGAGCGAATAAAGCGAGCTGGCAGTCTTATTTTAACTGCTTAAAAGCTTACAATAGCCTATTTTAAAACGTAAAAACTTAGTTTTGCTTGAGTAGCGTTAGTTTATTTTGAGAATTTTAGCGACTTTCTGGAATCCAAATTTCAAGAAACTGCAAAAAATGAAGAAATTTTTTTTTCACTTTTCAAGTACATTTTCTTAAAAAATTTGTTTTTCAATTTGCTTATTTTACTATGCCTATCAAGTATACCTACTCTCCAGATTTTTGTTCAGCTCTTTTTGCCACACAACGCCAAAAAAACGTCAATAATTTGAAAAAACTTATTCGTAATTTTTAAGACTATGGTCGGAACTTTCTGTGCCACTTGCACAGTAACCGGCTATCCTTGTTTTTTTTTTTAGTTTTTAGTTGTTTCATTTCGGAAGATTTTTGAAATTTTGTATTATTAGTCCACGTGTTTTTGATGATTTATTTCACCGAGCGCGCACTTCAAATTTTTTGGCATTTCGGTTTCTCTAAGACAGATATCTTGTAACTTCCGTTCGTTTCAGGTGCATGTCTTTTGACGCACTCAAAATCTTTGAAAAAACTGTTGATTATTGATTTCGCTGAATTTTGTTCTTTAAACCATTTTTACTTTAATTATCTTATAAATGAAGTTGAAAAAAAGTTTTTCTTGTGCATTTGTTTTTTTCCCATCGATTGTTTTACTCAGTTGCTCTGCTTTTGTTTTAGCACTTAATGAAGCCATGATTAATTCCAAGTAAGTTGATTGCTTAATTTAAGCTAAGTTGACATCTGATTTAAGAAACGCATAATTTTTTTCAAGAAACGCCAATTAGAGCTAAAAAAAAGTGCAAACAAATGACCAAAAACGTCTTGTAAATTTTCCTTCTGGTTGGTATGCAACATTTGTTTGCCCAATTTAGGGCGCGGCTTTACCAAATCACAACTTTCTTTATTTTTTTTTGCTCTGGTTCAAATAATAAGGCATAGGGCAGAGCAAAAAAATTTGCAATTTTTATTGACATTTATGCATTTTTATTTGAAGTTAACGGCGTGAAATCTATCGGAGTCGGATTTTCTACTTTAAAGAACCCTTTCTCACCCCAGTCAATAAATATACATATTATAATCTCAAACCATGCATAGTTTACTGTAAGCTTCTGAGGAAAAAGCAGCCATTTGCGAGCAAGTCGAGATGTGGTTTTGGCTCGTCGATGTTACCAACAAAAACAGTTACCAAGTTGGTCGCTTTTGCTAACCCAGCCGGTGTTTAGCTTTAATTTTTGCAAATTCTCAATTTTTTAATGATGAAATTGATAAATAAATTTTCTGAACCAAGTCAGCCATTATATAACGCAAAAATAATTATGGCAGTCGAATATGAAGAATTACAAACGGAATGCTTGCGATGGGAGGAGAAAGTGGAGAGGAGACAGAAAATTGGACTTGCGATATAGAAATCCGACAGATGTCATAGAAAAAACTGAAAAGGAAAATAGGGTGTTGCGTTCAAAGATGAGCGCTCTCTACTTAAAACAAAAGTTTAATGGTGTTACTTTTTTAAAATCACTTTCATGTTCTTACTTCCACGCTTCAGCCACTTAATTTCAAGGTCTTCAAGGGTCTGTAAAGCTCAATAGAAGTCCTTGATGTGTTTTATTCTATATATTATTGTAATGTGTACAATAATTTGTTTCGTTGTTACACATGTAAAAGAATTCAAGTTCAAGATTGATTCAAACTACTTGCTGTAAAATCAGTAATGGGTACTCCATTTACATCAGTAAATGTAAAATACCAATGGTTCTAGATGAATGTCATAAGCAAATACAGTAGAATCTACGAAAAATTTATAATTATTAGTTTCTAAACTGAATGATGGAACCAAATTGTGTACAAATAAGTTATAAGTTTTTTTAGTTGTGAAACGTTCTTGAGCAGAACTACAAATGGGATAACCTATAGCGGCTGGTTTTTCTATAAAGTCCTAATAATGATGCCCTTTGAATGTATCTAATGAAAAAAGGTTTTGTCAGTTTTTTTTCTGTTTTTACCTACTTCATATACATTTAGGTGGTCCTGTGGATCCCTATTTTTACTTGAGTATTTTAATGAGGTTTATGTAAAATGGTGGTTTCGTACATCCAAACTTACAAATTTTTTGTTTCACTTTTTTCCAACCTGTCATCCCGATAATTTTGACAGCACGAGCTCACAAAGTTGTTAATGCAGACCATTGTGGTACAATTGCCATTAATCTTTACAGCTAATCAATGTAAAAAAAAATTAAAGCAAAAAGTTTGCAGTTGGAGGGAAACGGTAGAGAAGCCCTAATATCTACTGTTTTTCTGGAAAGTTATAGTAAATTTTTCATTTCTTTCTGTGAAATCACAAACAGAAAAGCGTAGAATCAATTGTTTTTTTTTGGCTTTTCGCAAAATTAAACAGCTGAAAGTTTGTCCTCCTATTGTAAGTCAATTTGTCTTATATTTTTAAACTGTCTCATAGGTTACTAATTATCACTAAAATATTGGAATTTGGGTCCATGGTTAAAATTGACATCGTGTGCTAGTGATCACAAAATATCTCCAGAGTAGTCATCACTAGCAAAAATGTTTTTTTTTTGTTTTTACCGATTTATTTTTGAGAAAATTGGTAACGTTGAAAGCAGCTGATATAAAGTATTTTTAATCACTATTCAAACGCAATCTTGGTAATAATTCTTGCAATTTTGTATCTAAATCAGTAGCCTTTTATCAAAAAACAAATAAAATAAATTAAATTTTAAAAAAATAAAAAATATCTTGTTTTCGTCGTTTCAAAAAATTTCTTTATTTTTGAATTCTTTTAACTCGCCATTTAAACTTTAAACTATTTTGTTTTGTTTTTTGTTGCTAGTTCTAATTGTGATACCAAACGGCACTATAACTAGCAACTACATAATAATAGTTAATTGCCTAGGAAGTATTCAAAATTTGAATGCCAATTCAAAAGAATTCAAAAAGAACGTTTTTTCTCGTTACAACAAAATGTCAGGTGTTTTCGGAATTGCTTTTTTCAGTAAAAACTGACTGAATTAGATGAAAATTTGTAAGATTAATCAGTACGATTGCGTTTAAATAGTAAAATTTAAAAAAGTAAAACTATTAGGAGAAGTCAGCCTTGCAATTTTTAACTTATTCAGCTTGAAAACTGAACAATTGAAAATTTTCAATCTAGTTTAGTCAGAAAACTGACTGGAAATATTTCATTCATATACCAATTTTTACAGCCTACAAGGTTTTTGAGGTAGCCAAAAGTCGGCGCAAAAACAATAGTTTATCTTTCTGGTCGCTTTCAGAGACGTGGTCGAAACGAAAAGGAAACTTGTGAAGCAAAATCTAACTAAAGTAGTCTCTTCGATAACCCAGAAAAAATTTAGACTGGCGGTACACACTGATTCACGTGCTATATTCATCTCGTGCCGAATGGAACCAGATATAAACTATATTTATTATTGGGCATAAATTGGATATTTTATCTCTATAAAATATTTAATATTAACCAATCACGATCCATCTAACTAACAAACCACTTATTTGTAAGTGATGAAATTACTTGTAATTTCAGCACCAGAGAGATTTGAATTTAACTTAGAAATTAGTTACCTCTCCAAGAGAACTTTAGCAATCGCAATAAACCAGTATACTCTAGATCTATTGAGCCTAGCATAGACTAGTTAAACACCCTGAGACTAGTAGATATAAGAGTAAGATTAGGATCGGTATTAGACTAAGAAGTTGCACGAATCTATGCGCCCGAAAATAAGATAGCGTGACGAGCAGACGGTGTACCCTATCCGAAATTACTCTATGAGTTACACATCGAACCTAACTCATCTGGTGCGACCATAAGTCTCGATCAAGACCTTAAAAAACAAATTAGCTTAGAACTAACAGATAGATTAGAATTAGACAAAAACATTTTCAAAAATGTTACTTAATAATAATCTAATTGAAATGTCTCTACGACTCAATAGATCAGAACCGATATTCCGCACAATACTAGAACTACCAGGCATTGGAAGAAGGCCTCGGACAAGAGACGATCTACGACTACGAAGAAACTTACCATTAAATTTCATGGTCGTACGGCAAAAGCCGGACCAAACTTTTATATTTAGAATTTTACTAGCAAGGAATTTAGATTTTCATTTGCAAACATAAAAACCTTGAAGAAAAATTTTCAATTATTATTACAGGCGCTAAATCCCATTTACTATTGTACAATAATGATTTAAAAAAACACCTCAAATCGTTTCCTCTAAATCTGCAGTAAAATTAAAAAAG